TAGGACTTCTTCGGTGTCTTCATGACTTGGCAGCTGGCTTCCCCTAGAGTAAGTGATCCAAGAGAGAGAAAGGAAGAAGGGAAAAACCGTAAAGCCTTTTTATATCCTATCTTGGAAGCCAAACACTGTCCTTCCAGCCATACTTTATCTGTAAGAAGTGAGTCACTAAGTCCAGTCCACATTCAAGGGGAGGAGAATTAAGCTCTACCTCTTAAAGGGGAGGAGTATTAAAGAATTTGTGGACATATTTGAAAACTACCACAGTTTAACCTTTGGCCAGAAATTACTTACATTTCTCCCATGTGCAAAATACATTCACCTCCTCCCAAGACCCACCAAAAGTCTTGTCCCTGTACAGCATCAACTTGAAATCCAGGTGGTTGTCATTTACTTAAGTCCAAGTGTGGATGAGGCTCTTTGCGTGTAGTTCCTCAGACATAATTCCTTTTGATGTGGAGATCTATAAACCAAAGAGGCAAGTTTTCTACCCCTCATATATACCTAACATATAGTGATGGGACAGGCGTATAACAAACAGGTATAGAGATTTCTGTTTAAAAAGGGAGAAGATGAAAGGCACAAAGAAGTCACTGATTCGTAGCAATTTTAATGTTTGTCTGGATAAGTGTTGGACATTCCTTGATTAGGACTTAGTTCTACTTCTACCCAGGAATGCTTCTCTGTGGCTCTTGTTTCCTCCTTCCTGGCTCTTGATTCCACCCTATGAGTATTCTTTTCCATAGAAAGTAGTCCAGATTTGCAACTTCATAGTTTTCTTAGCCTGCTTCTTGCCAGTAGAATTTTGAGGGCCCAAAGGGTCTCTTTTCATTTTGTACTGCCTCTGTACCTTTCAGTTGAAGCTGGCAGTGTTTCTTTTTACTATTAGTGAGATTCATGCCATTAACAAAACTTATACCCACAAATCTTTTTTATATAATCTCTTTTTTACCTTGGGCTTCTGCTGGGATTGCTGAAGGACAGTACTTGTAGTGGGATAGAATTATATCCCCCCCCACCCCCAAAGAAATGTTCAAGTCCTAACTTCCAGTACCTGTGTATGTGACCTTATTTGGAAACAAGATATTTTATACATGTAATCAAAATAAGATGAGATCGTCTTGGGTTAGAGTGGCCCCTAATCCAATGGTGTTTTTATAAGAAGAGAGAAATTTGGATACAGAAGACACAGAAGAAAGTCATATGACTACCGAGGCAGAGATTGGAATAATGTGTCGCCAAGCTAAGAAACAGCAAGGATTGCTGGAAACCACCAGAAGCTGGGAGAGAGGCATGGAATAGATTCTCTCTTAGAGACTCCAGAAGGAACTAACCCTAACAGCATCTCAGTTTCAGATTTCTGACTTCCAAAACTGTGAGAGAATAAATTCCTGTTGTTTTAAGCTACCCAGTTTGTGGGAATTTGTTACGGCAGCCCTAGGAAACTAATACAACACACTTAAGCTTCTTAGAAGCTCAGTTGTTTAATTGAATAGCTCTCTAGGCACTATGTGAACTTTCTGAGGTCTTTTCTTTTTTTTTTTTAATTTATTTATTTTTGGCTGCATTGGGTCTTCGTTGCTGCGCACGGGCTTTCTCTAGTTGTGGCAAGTGGGGGCTACCCTTCGTTGCCGTGCGCAGGCTTCTCTTGTTGCGGAGCACAGGCTCTAGGCACACGGGCTTCAGTAGTTGTGGCGTGCGGGCTCAGTAGTTGTGGCTTGCGGTCTCTAGAGCACAGGCTCAGTGGTTGTGGCGCACGGGCTTAGTTGCTCCGCGGCTTGTGGGATCTTCCCAGACCAGGGATCGAACCCATGTCCCCTGCATTGGCAGGCGGATTCTCAACCATTGTGCCACCAGGGAAGCCCCTCTTTCTGAGGTCTTAACAAAGAATTTTTATAGCCACACTCTTGGCTTCCTCTTTAACCATTTTCTTGGCAATGCCCATGATTTGATCTTTGCTCAGAAACCATTTCTTTCTTTTTTTTAAAGCCATTTCTTAATTTTAGTATCATTTGCCATCTGGAGAGGCCAGGAATTTTCAGAATTATCTAGTCTTAACTCCTTTTTAACTATTCTTCCTTTAATTTATTCCTCTTCTCTTGCATTTTAATACAGCAAGAAGAAGTCAAAAGGAACCTTCAACACCCCTGTCTGGAAATCTTGTTAGCTACATTATCACCCAATTCATGAGCCACAACTTCTACTTTCCATGTTATGTCAGGCAACAGCTTTTGCCACTACATAACTACATAACAAGGATCCCTTTCCCTCCCATTTCCAAAAAGATTTTTCTCACTTTCCCTTAAGTACTCACCCATAACTTCCTCAAAAGCCATCATGCTTCTACAATTTCTTAAAGGCTCTTCAAACGTTTACTCACTCTCTCCTCAAAGTCCTTCCAACCCTGCCCTCTGCTGTGTTCCAAAGCTACTCCATTTTAGGTTTTTGTTACAGCAGTACTCACTTCTAGGTATCAGAATCTGTATTAGTTATCTATTGCTGTATAACAAATTACCCCAGAACTTAGAGGCTTAAACAACAGATATTTATTATCTCATAGGTTCACTGGGCGAGGAATTTGGGAGCAGCTTAGCTGGGTGGTTCTGGCCCAGGGTCTCATGAGCTTACAGTCAAGACATTGGCCATTGCTGTAGTTATCTGAAGAGTCAACTGGGAGTTACTCAGCGTCTGGCAGGTTTGTTCTGGCTCTTGTCAGGAGGCCTCAGTTCTTTATCATGTGGGCCTTTGCACAGGACTGCTTGCTATGGCACTGTCCCAGAGAAAGTAATCCAAGAGAGGCTGCAAGGAGGAAGCCACAGTGCCTTTTATGAACTAGCCTTGGAAGTCACAGTTATCCCACCATATTCTATTGTTAAGAAGTAAGTCACAGTATGGTACTGGCATAAAAACAGACACCTAAATCAATGGAATAGAATAGAGGGTCCAGAAATAAACCTTTGCATATATGGTCAATTAATTTATGACAAAGGAGCCAAGATTATACAGTGGAGAAAGGACATTCTCTTTAATAAACGGTGTTGGAAAAACTGGACAGCCACAGGCAAAAGAATGAAACTGGACCACTGTCTTAACACTATACACAAAAATTAACTCAAAATGGATTAAAGACTTGAACATAAGACCTGAAACCATAAAATCCCTGTAAGAAAACAAGCAGTAAACTCTAAGACATCAGTCTTGGTCATGATTTTTTTGGATGACTCCAAAAGCAGAGGCAACAAAAGTAAAAATGAACAAGTGGGACTACATCAAACCATAAAAAGCTTCTGCATGGCAAAGGAAATCAAAATGAAAAGGAAACCTACTGAATGGGAGGAGATATTTGCAAATGCTGTATCCAACAAACGGTTAATATCCAAAATATACAAAGAACTCATGCAACTCAACAGCAACAAAAACAAACAACCCAATTTAAAAATGTGCAGAGGACTTGAATAGACATTTTTCCAAAGAAGACATTACAGTTGGCCAACAGGCACATGAAAAAATGCTCAACATCACTAATCATCAGAGAAATATAAATCAAAACCACAATGAGATATCACCTCATACCTGTTAGAATGGCTATTATCAAAAAGCAAGAAATAACAAGTGTTGATAAGGATGTGGAGAAAAGGGAATGAACCCTTGTACACTGTTGGTAGGAATGTAAATTGGTGTAGCCACTATAGAAAACAATATGGAGGTTCCTCAAAAAATTAAAAATAGAACTACCTTATGATCCAGCAATTCCACTTCTGGGTATTCATCTGAAGAAAACAAAAACACAAATTTGAAAAGATATATGCATCCCCCTGTTCATTGCAGCATTGTTTACCATAGCCAAGACATGGAAACAACCTAAGGGTCCACTGATGGATGAATGGGTGAAGAAACTGTGGTACATATATACAGTGGAATGTTATTCAGCTGTGAAAAAGAATGAAATCTTACCATTTGCAACAACGTGGATGGACCTTGAGGACATTATGCTAAGTGAAATAGATGAGACAAAGAGAAAGACAAATACTGTATGATCTTATATGTGGAATCTAAAAAAAGAATTCAGTAACCGAGTTCACAGATATAGAGAATAGATTGGTGAGTTGCCAGAGGCAGGGGTTGGGGGATGGGTGAAATGGGTGAAAGAGGTCAAAAGGGACAAATTTTCAGTTATAAAATAAATAATGGGGATATAATGTATAGCACGGTGACTGTATCATCAGGGAAATCCACAATGAGATACTATAGTTCATTACAGTATTATCATTTTAATACTGTATTGCATATTTGAAAGTTGCTAAGAGAGTAGATCTTAAAAGTTCTCATCACAAGAAAGTAAAATTTTATAACTGTGTGGTAATGAATGCTAATTAGTCTTATTGTGGTGATCCTTTGCATTATATACAAACATCAAATCATTGTGTTGTACACCTGAAAAAAAATCATATAATGTTATATGTCAGTTATACCTCAGGAAAAAAAAAAAGTAAGTCATTCAGTCCAACCTACACCCAGAGTAGTATAAAATAACTTGTGAACATATTTTAAAACAAACACATAGTATAGTTAGCTATTGTTGAACTTTTACAAAAGGGCCCTTTAAATACTATCTTGCACAATGTGCATAACACATAAAAATGGAACTACCCTTGTTGTAGGGAGGTGGGTCCAGCATCTCCCTGGCTTAGCATCCCTTTCAGCCTCATTTTGCTGCCAAGTATCCAAGAATCATAGTTTGAAAACTAACCATACAATCATTCCTTTCCAGCTTAATTCATAAAAATCTATTAATACATAAAGTAGCAGAGCTCAGGAAGACAGCCATAATAGCAAAGTAGCACTCTACCGTGTAGTGGACTGATTTCTGGTGCTCTCTATTGTATAATAGTCAGTGAAAAGCCATTGTGTTTTGGGGAAGGAGTTGGTGATTAGTCAGCCGTGGATATCTATAGAGTACTTTCATTAGTCTGTTCTCTTATCTAATTTTTTTCCTTCAACAGAGTACTACAACAGATCATTGCAGGATTCATTCCTGGATCCCCATTTTCTTGGTAAGTAATTAATTGCCTTCTATCTTACTCACCTGCAGTAGCATCATTTTAGGTATGGTAGTATCTGGGCCATAGTGAGAAAGAAAGAGCTGCATAGGTGAGTATATAGGTGTAATTGGCAGGCTGTTAAAGACTGCCATTGTCTGCTGAGCCCAAACTTAATCAGAACTTATTTGTTATAATTCAGGCTCATGAGGGCTATCCTGGTCCCACAGGTTGTCTGGGTACTGGGTGTGTCTGATTCCATTCATATTCAGGTGTGAGGGTTGTGTTGAGGTGGGGAATGAGATGGTCCCTACCAGGCTTGGTATCTGATTTGTGTGTTTCTCCTCTAGATCATATGGGAAGATTTTATTCCTTAAGAATTTCTGAAATTGAAAAGATACTGCTTAACTTCCTTTTTTTTAAGTAAGAAAGTTTTTCAGAAGAAATAAGAGTATCAGAGTGACACGTACGGTACGGGTTAAAGATGGAATTTCCTCTTGTCTGGACAGTTATTTGCCATTTCTGACTCTGCCCCAAAAGGCTTCTTTGCTCAAAGGACCTCAGTCCTTCCACACAGTTACCCTATATTCCAGCCTCTAGTTTCTTTAAACGTGTTCCAGCCAGAGTCTGGATATCTGTCATCCAGGCTAGTACACCAACAGCTCCAGAAAGAGGTGCTGTCAAGTCCCTTTTGTGATTCCTCTAAGTTGTGATTCAGAGACACTGCTGTGGCTGCTTCTCTACGTGAAAGCTCCTCATTGTCCAGGACCACAGGCCAAGTCTTAGAATGAGGGAAGTCTGCTGTCGATTTTTGCTGATCACGAAGGGAAAACTCTCCTTAAAAAGCAGCTCCATCTATGTCTAAGTTAAATGGGCACAGAGAAGACAGACTTTTCTTAACCAACAGGCAATGAGTCACTCTTTTTGCTCTGGTTTGTCATGTGGTATTTTAGGTAGCTTCACATTTTATGTTGTATACAGTTAAACAAAAATTTCTAGAGAATGAGAGACTGCCTCTGGATAATCTGTTTGACCTTGAAATTATTGAGAAATTCTTTGCCACTTGATTCTAGAGAACTGGTGACTTTCCAGCTCTGAGAGAGAACAGGATTCCTCTGCCAATCTTTCTGTGGTGTAAGGCGGAGCCTGGTCACTCCATCTAATGCTCTGTGTCTCATCTCATGTATAGGAGCGGGATGCTGCACTCCAACCCTGGGGACTATGCCTGGGGTCAGACAGGGCTTGATGCCATTGTAACTCAGGTGAGGAGCTGCCTTTTGAGGGTATCTGTTCAGTGTGTCTCATGGTTCCACAGGCTTCCTGCTTTCCTTCTGCTACTTTCTGAAATGGCAGTCACTCTGCTTTCCCTAATAGTTTGAGCTTGTGGGTTTCCATTTTACTAAAGGGATAGATGGTTTATGGGTTTAGCTCAGCATCCATGTACTTTCTTGGTCCTAGGGACTTTCTAGAAGATAGCTTCGACTCCAAAGGAAGAAAAGACTTCTGTAACAAACAATATTTTATATTTTTGGCCTCTTGTTCAGTCCTATGAGGATCCTGTTAACAAGTACTTCTCAAAAAAGAAGGGTCTGCTCATATGTTGAAGCAGGGATTTCTGCTAGATGGAACAAAGTAGGGGAAGGAAGCAGAGAAAAAGGTATTCCCATGCCATGTATAATTGCTTCCACTTGTTTATGTTTATTTTAATTTAATTGGTTTTTCATTTCCCTTGTGGATTGCTGAGAATAGAAAGCATGTTGTTTATATCTAAGTCTTCTTGTAGGCAGTAATTTACCTATTTCTTGGCTTACCTTGTGCTATTTTCCATACTCTGACCCTTTTTTTCCTTTCAGCAAAATGAAGTTTTTGAACTGGTTAAGTATTATGTTTTGTTAAGCTATAGTTTTATTCATGACATCACAGCCCTTTTGCTGTCTCCGAAGTTGCTTTATGCCCAGAGGTGGGCCCTGCAATGATGGATCTGTCTGTGGGCTTATACTAATGTCACTCTGAAATTGTAAAGCAATCATGAGTGTTCTGGCAGCAGGAAAGGGCAAACCCAAGCCTCTCATAGCCTTGCAGAAGTAAGAGCAACTAACATTTTTAATATCTGCACTGTTCTCAGCTGGAACAGCTCCCTCCCTAGGGATAGTTAGATGTCTACCACTTCTTCTTTTTCTTTTTTCTTTTTTTGTAGCTTTTAGGACAACTGGAAAACACGGGGCCTCCCCCAGCTGACAAGGAAAAGATCACATCTCTTCCAACAGTGACAGTAACTCAGGAACAAGTTGGTAGGTTCATTTTCATACGTATTTTGTCATCTTTTTATCTCTATTCAGAATCTGAGCCATTTCCTATACTAAAGATCTTCAAGTGAAGCTGTAGCACTCCTAAAATTTATACCTGGGTGCCAGATATGGAAGGTAACTACCCCTTCATTAGGGTTAGTCAACAGGTAATTCCTGAGCAATTACCATGTTGGTTTTCTAGATGTCATGCAGGAAATAAAGAGGTACAAGGGTATAGAAGACTTGATTTCTTGAAGAACTTACTAGGGGAAGCAAAACTTACCAAATTATTAGACAATAGTATAAAAAGTGGTTGAGCAGATGATACTGACTTTGGGAGAAAAGGAAGAGAAAAAATGGGAGGCTAGGCATTTGTTTCACATCTACCCTGTACTCAGGTACATGAGACATAGACATTATTTTATTTATAAGCACTAAAAGAGCTTAGTGATAAGGGACATTATTTTGGACCGGGAGTTTCTTTCCCCATAAATTCCAGTTTAGAGTCAGAAGATTTTAAAGACAGGATGGGCCATCTTAGAGAGATTATTCTGTATATGGAAAAGTATGAACCAATGAAGAATGTCAGCATGGACATGATGTCTGGATCAGGTATAAGGAGTGTAACCTCATTAGACCTTAAATAGAATCTGATGTGGGGAGTAGTGAGTGGTATGACTGGATAGGAAGGGTGGGGCCTTGTTGTAGAGGACCCTGAAACTGGCAGAGTAGTTAGGGCTGGATAGTTTAGGTAGTAGGTAAGTTTTGTAGGTCCCCAAATGGAGGAATGAGGGAATTTAAGTGGTCTTTAGGGAAGATTAGTTTGGCGGGTAGTGTCTACCCTCACAGGGAAGTGAGGGACTTCCCTGGTGGCACAGCAGTTAAGAATATGCCTGCCAGTGCAGGGGACACAGGTTCGAACCCTGGTCTGGGAAGACCCCACATGCCGCGGAACAACTAAGCCCGTGTGCCACAACTACTGAGCCTGCACTCTAGAGCCCGTGAGCCACAACTACTGAGCCCGCATGCTGCAACTACTGAAGCCTGTGCCTAGAGCCTGTGCTCTGCAACAGTAGAAGCCACCGCAATGAGAAGCCCACGAATCGCAGCAAAGAGTAGCCCCCACTCAATGCAACTAGAGAAAGCCCACGTGCAGCAACGAAGACCCAACACAGCCAAAAGTAGATAAATAAATAAATTTAAAAAGCAATCATTAGGGCTTCCCTGGTGGCGCAGTGGTTGGGAGTCCGCCTGCCGATGCAGGGGACACGGGTTCGTGCCCCGGTCCGGGAAGATCCCACATGTTGTGGAGCAGCTGAGCCCGTGAGCCATGGCTGCTGGGCCTGCGTGTCTGGAGCCTGTGCTCCGCAGCGGGAGAGGCCACAATAGTGAGAGGCCCGCGTACTAGGGAAAAAAAAAAAAGCAATCATTAAAAAAAAGAAGATTGAAAGAGGGAGGAAGCAGAAACAGAGATTTAAGGGGCTGTTGCAGCATCCTGATGGAGTTCAGGTGACGGTGGCAATGCTAACAGAAAGGAAAGGGTAGACTCAGATCATTTTGAAGAAAGGCTTTCATCACTGATTGCATAATGGGATAAAGGAGGGGAAAGGGTGAAAGATGATTCTAAGATTTTGCAACTCTATAACCACAGAGGTGGTGCTGACATCAGGGATGGGGGAATTGTGGGCCGGCCCTGGTTTGGGTAAGGAGGTGATGTGATGTTTTTAATTTTGAATTTGTTGATTTTGAGGTGCCAGCTGAGAATCCAAGTGAAGATGAGATGGAAATTGCTATGAAGCTGATATTAGGGAAAATTAGCTGGTAGCAAAATATAGGATATATCTGGAGGCCTGGAGTCAGGGATGCTACCTGGGAGGCTGTTACAGTAGAGTAGGCATGAGAAGTAGAAGCTAAAATTAGGGCTCAGGTGATAGAAATGGAGAGGAAGGAGTGAATCTGTTAAGTGGTATTTTACTCCAAATGCCTTGAGTACTGTAGAGCATGTAACATACATAGCCCAGCTACTGAAGAGATAGACTAGCTGGTATTACTAGCCAAACTTGGGAAACTTGGAATTTGCTGCCTGGTATCCCCCGTTCAGTTTGTAGCCATTTTCTCTGAGAAGAGGGCTTCCTGTCTCTGGACTTGGAGCCTGAGCTACCCTTGGGACTTGCAGTTCTGTAGCACTATCTCCTGGTACAGCTTTTAATGAACAACTTGTAAAAGAGGCTTTAGGGTAACCATGATGAAATAGGATGTGTAATGTAGAAAGTAGTAGGGTAAAAGTGGCTTGAGACACTGAATAGGAACTGCCAAGATTGCCGAGATGAGTCCTTTGGTTGTGGTGGACAGATTGCCAGTCTTTCCTAAGTAGAAACTGCCAGAAGGCTTTCACACACTTGGGAAGATGTTTTTCCTGTTTCACTTGAAAGATAATCTAAGCCCCTGTTCTTCCAACTCTTTACATTGAAAAGTAGGCCTTATATAGTTACTGTCTGGGCCTTATTGGAACAGGCCCATTAATCAGTCCTCCTTCACATAACCCTGTCTACTACCACCTCTATCCCCAGTTTGAAATAAAATTCATGCTTCCTATCTGCCTCCACCTTGGGTGCACTTTGTCTTTACTTTGTGTATTCCTTTGGCTGTTAAAGACATTGGGCTAGTTTTTTTCTTCCTTCTTTTTGCTTGTTTATTTTAAAAGGCGTTTCCTCCTCCAACAGATAAGGGTTTAGAGTGTCCAGTATGCAAAGAGGATTACACAGTTGAGGAGGAAGTCCGGCAGTTACCCTGCAACCACTTCTTTCACAGCAGTTGTATTGTGCCGTGGTTAGAACTGGTAAGTACAGACAGCTCTCATCTGTGATGGGGCAACTGTGCCAGTCATATCTTCTTGGGGGGATGGTTCACAGTAAGGGTGTAGTTAACAGTTAATTGGTACATATATACAATGGAATATTACTCAGCAATAAAAAGGAACGAAATTGGGTCATTTGTAGAGACGTGGATGGACCTGGAGTCTGTCACACAGAGTGAAGTAAGTCAGAAAGAGAGAAACAAATACCGTGTATTAACGCATATATGTGGAATCTGAAAAAATTGGTATAGACGATCTTATTTACAAAGCAAAAATAGAGGCACAGATGCAGAGAACAAACGTAAGGATACCAAGGGGGAAAGGGAGGGGTGGGATGAATTGGTAGATTGGGACTGACATATATACACTATTGATACTATGTATAAAATAGATAACTAATGAGAACCTACTGTATAGCACAGGGAACTCTCCTCGGTGCTCTGCGGTGACCTAAACGTGAAGGAAATCCAAAAAAGGAGATATATATATACGTGTAGCTGATTCACTTTGCTGTACGGTAGAAACTAACATAACATTGTAAAGCAACTATACTCCATTAAAAATTTTTTAAAAAACAAAAAACCCAAACAGTTAATAGAGAGCCAAGCAGATCAGATTTTAGTCCCTGGCTAACTCCTAGTAGCACCATTACTGTGTTTTAGATTATTAATCTGTTTGGAACTTCTCTGACCAGGGGTTAGCAGACTACAGCCTGCAGGTCCCTGTGGCCTGCCACCTGTTTTTGTAAATGCAGTTTTATTGGAACACAGCCATGCCCATTTGTTTACAAATTGTCTGTGGCTACTTTTGTGCTACATCAGCAGAGTTGAGTAGTTGCAACATAGGTGGTGTGGCCTGCAACGACTAAAATATTTACTACCTTTTCATTTACAGGAAAAGTTTGCTGACCCCTGCTCTAGACCATCTCAGGTCATTGTTTCTAGTTAGTTCTTGGTGATATGTGTTAGCTATTGTTATGTTGCTGCCTAGAATTCTCTGTCACTTCTGTTGAAATTCTGTTTGGGAGATGTCCTGGTGTTACACATGGAGCCCAGCGTGCACTCTGTGAGAATTCATGCCCTTTGGTTTTTCTACCTGCTAACTCTCAGGGTTTCTTAAGTGTTTTAGTTCTTCCAGCTTTCGGGTCAGGCTGTTCATGTGGACTGATACCTTTCTGTTTCAGCACGACGCGTGTCCTGTATGTAGGAAGAGCTTAAATGGTGAGGACTCTACTCAGCAAACCCAGACCTCTGGGTCCTCTGCAAGCAACAGATTTAGCAGTGACAGCCAGCTACATGACCGATGGACTTTCTGAAACTAAAGACCGCCTCTGAGCCAGGGCTATGGTAGACCTTATCACAGCTGTTAATTGTATCAAAACAAAAAAATCGTAGGTGAATTTAGGAATCACCTAAGAAACCCCAACCCATAACATTAATTCATTGAGTGTTTTTCTTCTCTAAATTTAAAGTTAGTATCTACAGATGGAATTGTACCTACAACCAAATGCCTCTCATTCTTGAATTCAGAGCGATAATTTTGTAAGTGCAAAACTTAATTATGTGGGTTTCCCCTGCCAGAATAGAATCAGTTCCTTAAAGTCTCGCTAGGGTCCTGCTATCTGTCATGTTACCTTGTGATGGATGTTTCCACCTCTTTCTCCAACCTCCACCCTATCATTAGTGTACTTTACACTAAATACAGTGGAACCAGAGCCCTAAAGTCCTGCTGATATAAAGTCCTTCTGTTTTAATTGTACAAAAGCATCTACTTTTGGCCACATTAGCCATGAAGTGAGATCAGATTAATTCAAGAATCTGAGACACTAATGATTCTTGTTTTTTCTTAACTTTCCAGAGAGCAAATCAAAGAAAAATTACAGTGGGCAGGAGAAAGTGGCTTATCATTGTACTCTTTGGTTTTCTCATTTTTATTTTTAAAGACTACTTCACAAGATGCAGCTTCTGCAGAAACCAACCTGACATGTCTTAGGAGTCTTACGTTGGGAGGAATCTGATGCTGGTTCCTTTTTGGGAATGAGTTGGGCAGCATACAGGCACAGAAGGACAGATGTTTGAAATCTTTGGTTCCGAGGTTTTTTAGTGATCCCCAGCTCATTGTTTATCCTGGGGACCTTAAAATCATTTCCCTCACAGAAATAGAATTACTTCATTACTGCTTCTACATTGTTTTTTGTAATTGTTTTTTGTAATTCACTGGTCTTCAGGAATTGAGATTTTATGTTGTCCCATTTTAATTTTTTAAGCCCATTTATCATTTCTGAAACCTTCCTGTTTGCTTGGTTTTGTCTGTACCTGGAGTCATACTGATTATTGTGATCATGCCCAAACAACTTGGCCTAGGAGACGTAGGCCTTCTTTTTTCAGCCTAACAGTGTCCCATGCACATGCACATGCTCTTTGGCGCATTTAAGTGTTTAAAGTTGAATAAATGAAGATTAAGAATGTTGTTGGAACTTCAAAGTCTCAAAAATAAATGATGGGGACATGTAACCACTGTTGGTGCACCAAAAAGGGTGACAGAGGGGCAACAATGGTATGGTCATATCAGCCCTTCATAGTTTGAAATGATCAGAACAAGAAGGCTGCTCTTTGGTGAGTCTCTCTTGGCTAGGAGTCTTTCCTCGGTTTTTGTTGACTGTCGTACACTGGTTTTGGGGGTGAGGGATGGGGTTAGAGATATCTTTGTAATTTAGTAGAGGACAGAGGAGTAGGAGAGGAAAGAGAGAAAGTGAGAGAGTTTAATTTAATATCCTTCCTCTAAAAATTGTGACCATGAGGTATGATTCAGGTTGGACCCAGAGAGAATAAAAGATGTTTTCTCATATGCCTTATGTTATCCTATGTAGAGATCGTTTCTTTGGAGAATGTGAACTATTTACTATGGCTATTGAAACGTAGCCCAGAAATACACGCTGGTTTTGAATGGTGAGGGGTGATGAGGCTGAGGGGACATGGGAGGTATATTGTGAATATTTAATGGCCATTACTTAGATGGAGAAGGTCTAGGCTGAAGTTGGAGCACATTGTAGTTTTCAAGTGGAACAATATCAGCTGTCTCAGAAAAATGATGCCAGCCTGGAAGTTTTTGTTTGCTTGTTAGTGTCTGGAGATGCCAGAACAGGCAGGTGTATTTTTACTTAACACTAGAGAACTAGAAAGAATCTGAGTAGCTTTACAAAAGGATGCAAACAAAGTGCTGGACAGGGATTTAACTTTTCAATATACGGAAGAGCAAATAGCATCAGTCTAAGTTATCTGAAATTTTCTTCACTTTTTTTGTGCTTTTAGACAGAGTGCACAAATCTGTTTGCTGTTTCTGAGACCCCTCCTACTTAATGAATCTGTAGTGTTTCTTCCTAGAATAGGAGGCATCTCAGACTTCAGGTTAATTTAGGTAGTGTATTAGTCAGGGTTCTCCAGAGAAACAGAACCAGTAAGGTTGGTGTTGGGGTGTGTGTGTGTGTGTGTTGCCTCACATGATTATGGAGCCAAACACAGAAACAGAACCAGTAAGGTTGGTGTTGGGGTGTGTGTGTGTGTGTGTGTGTGTGTGTGTTGCCTCACATGATTATGGAGCCAAACACAGTTTGATATAGTTCCCAAGGCAGAGGACTACATAACCCAGACTTCTCAGGTGTTCATTCGTTTACAGCTGGAAGGCTTACAGACTCAGGAAACTGGAGCCTTACTAGGAGTCAAGGGAGAGATGATTCAGCTTTCCCTCATTATCAAAGAGAATAGAAAAAAGTTGCCATTTCAAATCTTGGGCCCTTACACTTGAGGCCTTTACATTTGTACTAAATGGCCTACCCTTTGAGTTCCATGCATAGATAAACAGATTGTTTTCCTATTCATGAATGTCTTTTTTTCTTATTCTTCCTTTCGTTCATTATAATTTGAAATAAAAGAGGAAGTAAAACTATGTTAGCACATAATTAGGAGGGACTTGCTAGAGATTGGTAGACCTGAAAGTTGAGAGGTTATGTAGGGCAATTGCTTGCTGGCCTCCAAGTGATTATTGCTTCTTGGGTAGTTTCCAGATGGGTTATTCTGGCTGGACAGAACTGGGCAGTTGGGTGGGCAGAGTGGTGAACATTTAACTGATATCTCCAACAGAGAGAAGGAATAATCCTTGTATTAAAAATTAATTTTCCTGCAAATTTCCTGTTGCCAGTTCTCTGAAGAGTTGGGAAACCTGAAGTATCCAGATAGCTTCACATTTGCTGTATAACAATTGAGCAAGTGCTTGTTAAATGTTTTTCTTGAGCAGTACTCTTCTGGTCCAATAGTTAGTTCTCAAGTTGAAAGGAGGATTTGGGGGCAAGAATTTGTTTCTTCCCCCCACAACAAGTCTCAGTTGGATTAAATAGTTATTAGGAGAAAAATTCCTTGTTTATGCCTTTGTATTGCACATTTGTATATATGCGTTTGTGTGTATATGTATATGTATATATTCATAGACATATGCACATTTCATTCTAGAGGAAGAAGGGATATGATGGGCACCGAAGTAGATAAAGTGAGCAGGGGTACAGCAGAGGACTGGAGCTTTAGTCTGATTCTCTCATTGCATGTGCCTCAGGCCCATGTGTTTCTGTAGTTCTCTGTTATAGGGCACTGTTAGCATGGGCAGGCACCCTGTTATGTGGTGTGGCAAATGGATTCACTGGAGCTAAAAGTCTGGTCATTTCTGAAGGTTGAGGATAAATGGCTTTGAGGAAAGGGTGTTGGTCGTCTCTTGTTTCTGTATTATAATTAATTGAACTAAGACACAGTTATCTGTTGCTTTCAAAAAATTTTCTTGATAAGTTATTGATGACAAATTGACTTCTCACATGAACTTCTGCATGCTTCAGTTTCGTTCTTCCTGGTGTCCAAGTCCTGTTTCCTCAAGGAATACAGATATATCAGACTTAACAAAAACTAATCAGGAGGGGATCATAGTTTGTCTGTTTTAAACAACAACAAAACAGCCCCTGGGGTTTTGGGAGGTGAAGGTTACCTCAGAGTTGGTTGTTAGAGCTCATCTAGGCAGGCCACTGACATCTGTGAAGGAAAACAGATTTTTAGGAGGAGAAGGAACAGGGCTGGTGAATAGATATTTGGATGTTAGGGAAGATCCCTCTTTGGTCTCTGTGGTAGAGAGGTGGGAAGATAAAGGTGCTGTTTGCAAGAATAAACCAGTGGAGATTTGGAAGTTTGCGGGGGGACTAGCAGGAGAGAGTACTCCTACTGAGAGTTTCCAAAATGAATCTAACATAAGTTCTGATGTAGGGAGTTCAGGGAAAGATTTGGTGGGGTAAACATATCACAGGTGTCTATCCTACGATGGGAAATTATAGCTTGCAGTAATGTCAGCATCTCAGCATTCAGGCTGGGAACCCCAGGTCTGCACCATGGGTTTAAAATGGAATGTGTAGAATACAATGTGTACAACTGGAGATCTTTTCCAGGATCGAGACAGGATCAAAATGTCTTAGCTAATGGACATTAAGAGGTTTTGATCTCTCATACCTGCCAGATAAGTGGAATTACAGGCACTCAACTCTCTAATTTTATACATATAAACTTTGTGTTTTGCCAGATTATACTTAGATGGTGTCCCAGAAGTGGAGTCTATATGAAACACTTATATCTGTAAATCATGAGATGTAGGCTTGTCGTTCTTTACCTTTTCTAATAAGATGTACCATTTTTAAGGTCCCCAAATTATTAGACTCGCTCCCAACAAGATTATAGTTGTATTTTTAGTATCTTTTGATGGAAAAAACACATAGCAAAAAGCTGCTATGATTTCAGTAATGCTTTTAAATCAATTTGTCTTTATTAGTCATACCAGAATCTATATCCAGTTGAAGTACATTATATACATATTTGTAAGATATATTATTTATTCAGACTGAAGATAATGCTTATATAGACCTCTTAAAATAACTACATGGCCTCACAGAGGTTCAAATTCCTTGGGTAGTGAATCACTCATATAGATTGAGGTTAAAATGTGTGTCCAGAAGTCTACCTATTCATGCATGGAAATTTATAGACATATTGGAAAGGAGTGGTATCAATACACTTTGAAAGCCGAGATATAAGTATTTCAAATTTTTGTTTAACCATCTTGAGATAAGCAGAATAAACAAAATAAATTCTTTAGAAGTGGGACCCTTGACTTACTGTTGCCTTGTTTATTCTGCTTAGTTCATGTCAGAACTAGTAGTCTTATGCTCTTGAATGTCTTGATAAACTTAGCCAGCAATCATGTGTCCTTTCTGCAGATTTTTTATGTAGACCATAATTAGCATAATAGCACAATGGGTAAAACCTTTTCTGTAGTTAGACATGGCTTCTGTGTGAGACTTCCAGTGATTGTATAATATTGAGTGGTTTCAGAAGAGTCTTTGAATAGTGAAAAGTAAAAAACGTCTCTACTCATGTGAGCTTAAAATTTAGTTAGTTAGAAAAACAAAACTAACACATAAAACAGGTAAAGATTAAAGTGAGTGTAGTACAGTGGGGAAAGCTTTGGAGACTTCTGAGTCAGAATTCAAGTGGTTCTGGGTTTAAAATCCAGAATCTCATTTGATTCTCAGAGCAGTCCTGTGGAAACAGAAGATAGAGTAGGAAATACCGCACTTTACAGATAAGTAGCATCTCAAAACTTCATTTGCCCAAGGATATGTAGCTGGTACGTTGCAGGGTCAGAATTTAAATCCAGATCTTCTGACTCCATGCCTAGTCTTTCTACCTCCATAAGACACAAAATCCAAAATCCTTAGTTTGAGGTTCAAGGCCATCACTAATAAGGGTCTTACCCATCTCTTTCAGCCTTCTGTCTCTCTGGTCCCACAAACCTTAGCCTCCCCCATTTGGCAGGTCCTGGCCAAGGATCACAGGTAAGGTGTCTGTTTCCCTTTGATGGCTTGCCATTTAGCCCCAGTTAAATTGTCTATGTTTCTACCTCTTTATTCATGTAGTTCCTCCTAGCAGGAATATCCTGCCCCCACTTCTCTGCTTAACTAAGACAAGAGGTTATCTGTCCAAAGAGACAAGAGGATTTATGAATCTAGAGAGAAAAGAAAAGGCTGCAGATATTGCTTTGACATTTACTTGAAAAAAAGGAGAGAAATGACCAGAGAGATTGACAAGTACTTAGTTGAAGCTAGACAGTTAAGATCTGTGGAGCACCTGGTCTGCACAAATCTTCCTCTTTCGCAAGCACTGCTATGTGGATGCCGTTCAACACCAGGCTCTCTTCGTTTCCTCATTTTCTGCCAAGTCAGTTACTGGATATGGTGCCCTTCCTCTCCTATCCTACCTGCCTTTGCTTGTTTCCTCTCTCTTCCCTTAACAGTGTCAAATAAAAATTTCTTCCAAAAACATTGGTGTTCTCATTTTATTTGACTCACTTGTTTATTTTACTTTGTTGGAGGGAAGGGAGGAAAAGTTCTTCTTGGGTACAAAAACACACTTATCCAGTATTTGAGTGAGAACTGTACACCAGCTGCTTTTGTGAGAGCTGCTTTTTTATTTACTGGTGACTGAGGTAGGAAGAAAGTTAGGTTTGCTCTGGCAGTGAGGATGGGAGGTCAGGGAACACATTCATTTGCCCATCTTATGTTCCCCAGATTCCTGGCATATTTAGCATCTCTTCCCCTGTGCCCTGTTATTTCCTTCTCTATGCATATTGTAATGTGAAAGATGCCAAGCTAAAGAGAGTCAGATTTATCTTGCTATAACTTTAAAAAAAAAAAGTTTTTTTGATGTGGACCGTTTTTAAAGTCTTTATTGAATTTGTTACAATATTGCTTCTGTTTTATGTTTTGGTTTTTTTGGCCACGAGGCATGTGAGATCTTAGCTCCCTGACCAGGGATCAAACCCACACCCCCTGCATTGGAAGGCGAAATCTTAACTACTGGACCACCAGGGAAGTCCCTCTATAACTTTTTTTTTTAAGTTTCTTCTGGCACAAGGCTTACAAAGCTGTAGAAAGAAAAAGGAAAGTTTGTTTTATGCTACAAACTTAGAATAGTAACAAAATACCTGATGTAATTCATCCTGGGATGTGTGTTTGATAGGCCCTTATGACTACAGGGAATGGAAAAGGAAAGAAGGGGAGGTATTGTATGTGTTGTGTCTACTGCTTAAAGTTGCAGTTGTGATCTTGTGAAATCTACCTGATCCTGATGCAAGTGGGAAAGAAGCCAACCTTTGATCTCTTCTTGCTGGAAGGTAAGATAATTGAAGAAATAGATGCCACTCAACAAGTTCAAGGTAGGTTTTCCATGTATAGCACTGAGTGGCTAGCACAGTGACAGGACAGAGATACTCACTGAAATTAGTTTCATGAGCTGAGGGAGGCATAGAGATCCAGGAAAGTTCCCTCATTTCATCACATGTAAGCATGATAACTTGACCTACATGATTTCTCTGGTCCTGAGAAAATGTGTGTACTTTTGTTCTGAACACTACCACTTCCATAATTCTGCTGAGTCTTGAGGTGGGAAGAGTGGTAAAAGGAATGACCTATCAGAAGTTCATTCTCTTCACCTGGCTAGAAAAGGGAAAAGAGCTTAGAGATTTTTTCCTGTCGCATAACTTGGGAGTCAATAGTAGGTTGTATGGCTAGACCCAGTCTCCTTTTCTCTTTAGAGTTTTTAATATGTATGAAGAAATAAAATTGATTTTGCCAATGAAATAGCCTAACCATTGAGAAGATTTAGATTCAATAAAGAATTATGTCTGAAGGGTCAGACTGCTTGATGTTCACCAGTTTCTCCCTGAAAACTGGAGTAGGCTTATATTTGTCAGGTGCTTGCCAAGGATCACAGATGTGGTCTTTGTTTTCCTTTGATAGTTTGCAGTTAAGGGGCTGGAATAAGGGAGTTATGGTCCTGTTTCTGGAAATGGGAGGAAGCAATCTCAGAATGGGGAGAGTGGTGATGGAGTTGAGAGAGAAAGTGCTTAGCATGTAGTAGATAATCACTGAGAGCACGGATTTTGGAGTGAGAAGGTCCTGTATTAATTCCCATGCACTGGGGCAACATTTAACCTCCTTATACCCATTTGCTGGTGAGTAATTGGGGAATATTTACCTGGAAGCATTGCATGAGGTTAGAGTCACCATATGGAAAGCCTAACCTGTCATACAAATTCTTTAAACAAATCTATTAAGAGCCTGCTATGTGCCTGGTACTGTTTTTGGTTGGGGTAAACAAGACAAAGGTTCTGCACGTATAGAGCTTACATTCTGGTGGCACAGTGGTAGTTATTGAATTGAGGAAGGCCTAAATAAGGCTTGGAATTAAGAATGCCAAGGAGAGGCAAAAACCTGCATCAGTTACTGATTATGCAAACGTGTAATAGCAAGTCATTGCAAGTTCCAATATCTTTTTTATCTAATAGGGAAAACTAATTGACATTGATGGATAAATGATGCTCAGAGGACTCAACTACAAGGGTTTTATATACTCACTCTGGCCATCAACCTTTGCTGAAGAGCTGCATTGTTTAAAACCCACCTCCAGACCAAGTCTGTTTCTTGCCTTGCTCATCACATTATAGCCAAACATCTGTTGCCTCAACTTGTAGCCCTCTGTTCATCCAGTAAGTAGAGGTATTTGTATTTGCTTGCCTCTCCCACAGGCTTTCTTTCGTCATGGGTGTGACCTCCTACCCAATGGAAAGTCTGATTCATCTGTCATCCCCTAGTTAGTATGAAGTCTTCAGTCCCTTTGGACTGATTTTGCCTTCATACTGGTGTGATGTTTTCATGTGGACAGCCAGGGCCTAAGGAGCATTTCCCTGTCCCACTCTGGGCTTCCTTTCCACCCTTCTCCTGGAGAGTAATCAAGATGTTAAAGGTATAGCAACCTCATTTCTTGGGGTGCTAAAAGCTCTTCTGAACATACCTTGAAGGGCCACCAGGCTGGTGACCAGCATCATCCAGACCTTTTCTTGCAGGAAGCCTGAACTGAGAGCACCTTTACTGTGGCCAAACTTGGGGTGTCCTGTTTCAATCCCCTTACTGTGTAGTTCACTCTCTGGTTCAGAAGAGAATCAATGGATCAGGAGAGAGTTTTGGAAATTACTAATACCTCCTTTTGCATAATCTCAGGACATCTTTTTTATGATCCCCAAGGATACCTCTCAGTATAATCCGTTGCCCACATAAGTATTTTTTAACATTTGTGGGTGGTGATGATGACGTACATAAGTGGCAATAAATAAATATAGAATCTATGTGTGTCAGTGGGGATGCAAATAGGCCTACCTTGAAGGAACTCAAGTCTTGCCAGAGAGACAGCTAAAATAGCTTAGTTACCTTGGAGTTGGGTGTCTCCAAGTCTCATTTAAAAACCATCTTCTGGAGTGGGTCAAGCAGTTTAGTCTAAGTTAAAATCGTGGGTTTTGGGCTTCCCTGGTGGCGCAGTGGTTAAGAATCCGCCTGCCAATGCAGGGGACATGGGTTCGAGCCCTGGTCCGGGAAGATCCCACATGCTGTGGAGCAACTAAGCCCGTGCGCCACAACCACTGAGCCCACGTGCCACAACTACTGAAGCCCGCGCGCCTGTGCTCCACAGCAAGAGAAGCCACCGCAATGAGAAGCCTGTGCACTGCAACGAAGAGTAGCCCCGCTTGCAGCAACTAGAGAAAGCCTGTGTGCAGCATAAAGACCCAACAGTCAGCCATAAAAAGAAATGAAATTGAGCTATTTGTAATGAGGTGGATAGACCTAGAGTCTGTCATACAGAGTGAAGTAAGTCAGAAAGAGAAAGACAAATACCGTATGCTAACACATATATATGGAATTTAAGAAAAAAAATGTCATGAAGAACCTAGGGGTAAGACAGGAATAAAGACACAGACCTACTGGAGAACGGACTTGAGGATATGGGGAGGGGGAAGGGTGAACTGTGACAAAGCGAGAGAGAGGCATGGACATATATACACTACAAAACGTAAGGTAGATAGCTAGTGGGACGCAGCCGCATAGCACCGGGATATCAGCTCGGTGCTTTGTGACCACCTAGAGGGGTGGGATAGGGAGGGAGGAAGGGAGGGAGGAAGATGCAAGAGGGAAGAGATGTGGGAACATATGTATAACTGATTCACTGTTATAAAGCAGAAACTAACACACCATTGTAAAGCAATTATACCCCAATAAAGATGTAAAAAAAAAAAAAAGACCCAACACAGCCAAAAATAAATTAATTAAAAATAAATAAAATCTTGGGTTTTGTAATAGATACGGATTTTTGTCCATTATTTACTAGCTGAGTGAACTTACACAAATTACCTTTGAGCCTGATTGTCACAGGACAAGAATAGTACCTAACTCAAAAGGCCATGAAGATTAAATGAAATAATGTATCACTTAGCACAATGCCTGGCACACAGTAAACACTCAGTAAATGGTAGACATTGCTTATTGATATTATCTGTTACCTGTTTGGCCTTATTAGTTTCATGTTCCGAAAGGAACCTTATTTCCACATTTGGTGAGCATCCATATTTACTAACTCTAATACTTAAATATGCTGAGAGGACGATAAAGTCTTTCTATCTTAGAACCATCACAAGTAGAAATACTTAAGGTGTATTAGGAGAACATCAATACTGCATTATAAGGGGCAGTGGCTTCGTCATACTCCCATTCTATTCTGCAAGACTTAGCACCGTGCCTGGGATACGCAATCAGTTTAGATGAATGAAAGAGGAGTTTCCATTAGTGAGATCAACTGGAACAGAGTATTCACGTAAGTAGTAGAATGAAATTTTATAGAGATAGAGCGCCTCCAGTGCCAGGCTAAACTAATCACTGTCTCATAGACAGTGAAAAGCCATTAAAACTCTGGGGTGGTATGTACAAATCAGCATTTTAGAAAGATGTCTGGTGGCAGTATGGATTAGAGGCAGAGACAGTATCTAGTTGATGGACCACTTACTAGGCAAGAGCTCAGTGCCAGGCTCTGAGGTAGGTGTGGGAGGTATAAAGATGAGTAAAACATGGGCAGATTTGAGATCTGGGGCTTACCACTTAGGAGACTATTGGAATATTTTAAGTGTGAGATGATGCAGACCTGGAAAACACCTTTGGAAAGAAAGGAATGAATGTGGGAAAGAACTAGTAGTACTTAGTAACTGACTGGATGGGGGAAGAGAAAAAAGGAGGAACCAAGGTTTTGACTGAATCATGGACAGAAATATGGTCTCAGGAGGGTAGGTTTGATTTTGAGTGATTTGGTTTCTTTTTTTTATTTATTATTTATTTATTTATTTATTTTTTGGTACGCGGACCTCTCACTGTTGTGGCCTCTCCCGTTGCGGAGCACAGGCTCCAGACGCACAGGCCCAGCGGCCATGGCTCATGGGCCTAGTCGCTCCGCGGCATGTGGGATCTTCCCGGACCGGGGCACGAACCCGTGTCCCCTCATGCCCCCCCCCCCATCGCCAGGCGGACTCTCAACCACTGTGCTACCAGGGAACCCCTGGTTTCGTTTTTTAAAGACTTTATTTTCTATTTATTTTTTTGACCTGGGCCCACATTGGTGAAAGCACTGAGTCCTAACCACTGGACCAGGGAGTTGCCAAGACTTTATTATTTTGTATTTTTAAATTTTGGGGGGCTGCGCCATGCGGCATACAGAATCTTAGTTCCCCAACTAGGGTCAAACCCATGACACTTGCGTTGGAAGTGTGGAATCTTAACCACTGCACCACCAGGGAAGTCCCAGGAGGTGCAGGTTTAAATCATGAGGGTAGATCAGAAATTGGGAGAGATAGTAGAGAGAAAAGATTGAAGGAGTGGGGAATGAGTCTTGAGGAATGAATTTTCATGTTTGAGAGGTGGGAGGAGGAAACAGGCAGAGAAGGAGAGAGAAGAACAGCCAGAGAAGTAGAAAAACCAGCGGGGAACAGAGTCACAGAAGCCAATAAAGATGAGAGTTTGATAAGGAAGAGAATGGAAGTGCTGAACGCTAAGCTAGTTAGGTCAGATGGGAAGACACCAGGAAGCAAGGAAGAAAATAGAAATCAACCTAGACTGAAGTAGAAATTTTGGATTAACTACTAACCGTAGGTGATGATGAAAACATTTGTTAAAAGGCTCTGGGACAGGTTTTTATTTGGGGGTGGGCGGGTGTAATTTACATCTATTTTTCTTAAAGTCAAAAAGATAGTATTTGAAAGTTCATAAAAGGTAATAGCAGTGTCTTTTTATTCTCAGAGACAACCACTATCAACCTTTTGATGTGTTTTACCATATTCCTACATAAAATGCTAATATTACCACTCTTGATGATAGTTTAGACATTGTCTATTGATTTTCTGTTATAGAAGATGAGGATATGGTTCTCTTAAACCCCTACCCTTCTCTGCATCTTTCAAAAAAAAATCATTATATTATAAATTTTAGTTTTTTACATAATTTGGATTCCGTAAATGTTACTTATTACAGAGCCAAGTTGTGTGCTATGATTATGTTTCCTTTTGTAAAATTGATTGTTTTCCCTGGAGATGATGATCACCTTAATTTTTTTTTAAACAGGCAGAGTTTTCCATATCCATATCTTTAATCCCTCGTCAGATCTGTCATGGGCCATCAGAGAAATGGTCAATTCCATTTTCACCCCCTAGAGATCTTTCAGAGTCCTGTATCTTTTGCTTTCTTCAGGACTAACTGCCCTTTTTGGCCCTTTTTAATTGTAGAATTTTTTTATCCCCTCCCCCTGTTAGATTTCTTGTTTCCTGGATCTCATTTTATCCACTCTACCAATTCACTCTCTTGCTTTACTGAAGCACATCCTCTGGTAGCTCCTTAAGAAAGGTCATATGAAAGGCAATTTTTTTTTTTTTGGAGTCACTGTGTGACTGACAGTGTCTTCATTCTTTCCTCATGTTTGATTGGTAGTTGTGACTGACAGTGTCTTCATTCTTTCCTCATGTTTGATTGGTAGTTTGCTTGGGTATAGAATTCTAAGTTTTGAAGACTTGCTCCATTGTCTAGGAGTATGAAGAAGTCATATATATAAAGCTGAGGCTGCAGTGGCCATATTTAGGCTGTTCCAAAGTAGTAACAGAGCAGGGGAGCATGCACAAAATGAGGAAATTTGCAGAGATGGGAGGACTTGCTGCCCCAGAGAGGAGACAGTCACTGTTTTGGGTTCTTTTGGCTTTCTGGTTTCTGATTCCAGAAACCAGAACTCATGAGGTCTAGCTATACTTCTTCTTTATTATTTTTCCCCCTTTAATCTATGGCAATTTGAGTGGGTTTCTGTTTCTTATGACTAAATGCTCTTTAAGACAACTATCCATTTCATCCACCTTTCTTTCCCAGCCTGAAGGCTCAGTGCCTATATTTAGAAATATAGCCACATCTCTGAGAGACTGAATTGGGAATCAGGAGGCCCAAATTCCAGACCTTTCTGCTTTTACTGGCACTGCTCAGTGAGTGGCTTTGGATAAGTTGCTTTTCCTGCTGTGATTCAGTCTCAGTGTCAATAAAAATGGGATGGCTACCTCAGAAGGATTTTTTAAATTAAAGACAAAATGAGATACCTTTGTATCCATGCTTTGAGGAAAGGCAGCATTTGCCAATGGGAGTGATGGAAAAGGATTTGAGTAATGGGAAGGACTCTTCTCCAAGGAGACTGCCTATCCAGGACCTGAAATAACTACTTCTGTCTTTAGCAGTTGACCCTGCTTACTGTCCCACCTGGTGGCACTGGGGATATTGGGAGACCACCTGTGACTCAGAGAAATAATGGCCCTGAAGAGGCAGATATCCAGCTTCTGGCTTCTGGCACACCACTGGTAGGTCTCACTGTCCAATGCCATGGCTTGGTTTATGGTGAACACCAACTGAGATGATATTTCACTGATACCATCTTTCCCAGGATCCTATTTAAGTCTCAGTTGCTCCAAGCTAGTCTCAGGGGAACAGACTCAAGACTTATCCTTGCACAAAAACACCATACCCACCTCAGCCTCTTCTTTTTTATTTATTTATTTATTTTATTTTTTTATTTTTTTTAACATCTTTATTGGGGTATAATTGCTTTACAATGGTGTGTTAGTTTCTGCTTTATAACAGAGTGAATCAGTTATACATATACATATGTTCCCATATCTCTTCCCTCTTTGTCTCCCTCCCTCCCACCCTCCCTATCCCACCCCTCCAGATATGATATCACTCATATGTGGAATCTAACAAATAATACAAATGAATCTATATATAAAACAGAAATAGGCTCACAGACATAGAAAACAAACTTATGGTTATAAAGAGGAGAGAGAGGGGTAGAGGGACAAATTAGGAGTATGGGATTAACAAACTACTATACATAAAATAGATAAGCAACAAGGATTTACTGTACAGCAAAGGGAATTATATTCAATAACTTGTAACGGAATATAATCTGCAAAAAAAATAATCACTATGCTGTACACTTGCAACTTACCCAATATTGTAAATCAACTATACTTCAATTTAAAAAAAGGCCACACTACTATTTTACTTTTTATAATAGCAAATATACTATTCTTAAAACACATACAAATAATGTAATGGTATTTTAAAATCATATTTTAGATGCAGTGGGAGTGTTTATGCTTGAAATAATAACTTCTTGCTAAAATAAGTAACTGATTCTAATTTGTTTTCTAATTCTGGATTTTTGTATGTTGAGCTTGCTTTGAATCACCGTTTGCTTTTCTTTAAGGCTTCACATTGACTTTCTTCTAGTTGAGCTTTTGTCTCTTCTTCCCCCAAAGCCTTAATTTCCTTGTAATTTGTACCAGGGTATTTACCCATATAGAGGTGCACAAAAAGGTACTAAGATCCCTAGGTACCTTGCAGCATAAGTGCTACCCTCTTGCAATGTCACTATTGCTCTGAAAATCTTGCAAAATACTCCCTACTGACTGTAGAAACCCTTACTTACAAATTCTTCCCTGGTAGAATCTCTTGGAATACATTCCCTTCCAAATGGTCCTGGTGAGTTTCTTGATTGACAGACTTGACAAAATATTAATAAGGTGGCCTCATAATTCATTACTGTCAAAAGCCAATTCAGAAGACCTGAGGCTATTGGCCTAATTCTGTTATTAAAGTTATTGATGTCTACTATATACCTAGCCCTTTGCTAAGTGTAAGGAAGATAAGAAGGCACAATGCCTGCCCTCTTTTTCTTATGGTGTAGGAGAGGAAAAGCAAAGTACACAGTAATTTATACAATGAAAGCTATATGCCAAATGGATGGGCAAGCCAACTTTTAATCTGGGAGCCAATTGACTTGCCACTGCCAATGGTCTGCAAGTATCTTCTCATTTGGGAATTGGCTTTCAAACCATAAGCCTATGCATCAGTTCACAAAATACTTATGCCTTGTTCATGAGCAGAAATAAATAAATGAGCAGATGAGCGTGCCAGGGTACAGTTAATGCAGTTAGTATATACATTTGTCACTTGGGAGGAGTACAAGTCAAGAACTGGCAGAGGCAGCTGCTTAGGCAGCTCTGCTGTGATTTAAGCCACAATCTAAATACAACTGCAAGTTTCTGCCTCAGGGGACACGGGGACAGCTAAACAACCGACATCAGGTCATTTCCACAATTGTTATGGTGTCCACACTGTCCACACTGCCACAGAATGGCTTTAAGCAGGAAAATGGAATGATCAGATTTGGGTTTTTAGAAGAATGCTCTGCAGTGGATTAAGAGGGAGTAAAACCAGAGATAGAATGACTTATTAAGAGAACACCAGAGGGACTTCCCTGGTGGCGTAGTGGTTAAGAATCTGCCTGCCAAGGCAGGGGACACAGGTTCTATCCCTGGTCCGGGAAGATCGCACATGCCGTGGAGCAACTAAGCCTATGTGCCACAGCTACTGAGCCCACGCGCTCTAGGGCTCACATGCCACAACTATTGAGCCCGTGTGTGCTGCAACTACTGAAGCCTGCACTCCTAGTGCCCATGCTCCACAACAAGAGAAGCCACCACAATGAGAAGCCCACGCACCGCAATGAAGAGTGGCCCCTGCTCGCTGCAACTAAAGAAAACACCCGCATGTAGCAACAAAGACCCAACGTGTCCAAACATATAATTAAAAAAAAAAGAGAGAGAGAGAGTGGTGTTGGAGTGGTCTGGAGGAGAGAGGGTAGTGACCTTGAAGAGGTGGTAGCAGTGAGTAGAAGGGGTAGATTTGAGAGCTACTGCAGAGAGAATCGATTTAACTTGGGAAATGATTGGATATGGTTGTAGAAATGAGGGTGAAGGAAGAGTCAAGGATAAGTAACAGTTTCTGTCCAGGCAGTTGAAGTGATAAGCCATTATTCACTGAGCTAGGCGGAAGACCTAGTTCAAGGGGTGGGTGATGAATACAGTCTTAGACATGCTGAGTTTAAGGCACAGGAAACTCACCCAAGGGGAGATGGACAGGGGACAGTTGGACACACAGGTCTAGAGTTCAGGAGACAGGTTTCGGATGGATTCACAGATTTGAGAGTCATCAGTGGACAAGTCATTGAAACCATAGCAGAGGTTATGGATTAAAATGTGTCCACCCCCCATCACAAGCGGCCAGATTCCCACGTTGACATCCTAACGCCCCAGTATGTCAGAATGTGACCTTATTTAGAGAAGGGGTCTTTACAGAGGTAATCAAATGAAAATCAGGCCATTAGGGTGGGCCCAATTCCATATGACTGGTGTCCTTATAAAAAAGGGAAATCTGAACACACACACACACAGAGTGAAACACCATGTGAAGATGAAGGCAGATATTGGGGTGATGCTTCTACAAGCCAAAGAATGCCAAAGATTGTCAACAAATCACCATGAGCTACGCAAGAAGCATGGAATAGATTTCCTCTCACAGGCCTCAGAAAGGAAGCAACCCTGCTGACACCTTGATCTCAGACTTCTAGCCTTCAGAACTATGAGACAATACATTTCTGCTAGTTAAGCCACCAAGTTTGTGGTACTTTGTTACAGCAGCCCTAGTAAACTCTTACAGGAGGGAATGAGATCAGAGAGATGACTGAGAAATGCAGATAAGTAGGACTGAGGGGCAAGGAACCAATAATGTAAGGGATATGAACCTATGAAATAACGAAAGGGCTATGAGCCCCCAAAGTGGTGGGAAAACCAGAAGGATGTAACAATGTGGAAGCCAAAGACAGAGAATGAGTGAGAAAAGACAACCATGACACCAAGTGTGGCTTTAGTGACATGACAGTCATTGTTGACTCTGGAAAAAATACTATTGCTGTAATCACAGGGGCAATAGTGTTGGCATTTATTGAGAAAGGTGTGGGAGATGAGAAAGTGTGTGCAGAAAGTGTAGAGAGCATACAAATGCAAAGAAAACAATTTTCTACACAGAGATTTTGAAAATACAGAAATCGTATTCTTTTAATGAGTAGACAAACCATCCCAAATCTGTCATGTGGGAGATGGGGATGGACACATATGCTGATGCATGGTGGAGGAAGAAGACCAAGTCTCTCTGCCTTGGTTCATGGTATACTGGGGTAAAGAGGATGGGAAAACAGGTGAATTATAACAAAACATGGAAACACATACTGACAAATATATATATACTGAAAAATCCTGGGCTTAATGGAGATGAGGATCTGCAGGATGGATAGGTGGATGGATGGGTAGATGGGTGGGTGGGTGGGTAGTTGGATGGTTGGCTGCTAGCTGGCTGGCTGGCTGGTTGGATGGATAGATGGATGGATGGATGGATGGATGGAAGAAAAGATAGCAAAACCATGTAATTCAGGGTAGTTTTGTTTGAAGAAAGATAATCCTTTATTCACAGTGCAAAAAGTTCATAAAAATCATGCATAACTTTATAATTTATAATAGGAGAAGATGTGAAACTTTAAGTTCCTTGAAATCCTCCTACCCAGAATTCAGGGGAACTGGTTTGGCATGTTAATCACCTGCTCCCATGGCTGCTGCCAATGTTCAATCAAAATCCTCAATATAAAGGTAATTTATTTGCCAAAGAGGAGGAAAAATATTAAAGTATTTGTTCTGTTCCTTTGGTAAGCAAGTGAAAATAATTGATTCCCTGGGAATACTGTGTTCACCCATGTGAGGCAAATTACAGCAGCCCCACAAGTGTTAGAACACTCAGTGCACTGGTACTGACAGTTGAGCATAATATATTTAAACCTCTCTTGTAGAGGCAGCTCTTACAGTTTGCTAGTCACGTTCTCCTCTCGCAATCCTAAATTTATCTAATGGAAAGGAAGACCCTTCTTCTGATGTTCACACTGTCTGGAAGACGACTTAAATTTACTACACAGGCACTAGAATAAAGGGTCCTGCTAGCATCCCCTTTTAAACATTCCTGAATCCATCTCCTCTTGCCATCCTCACCTCTCCAACCCGCCCCACCCCCACCCTCGGACAACATCATGCCCTCGTTGGCTCCTTCTGACTGCCACGTGCTCCCAGCTCCCAGGGTTGCCCAGAGTTACTGCCATGTGAGGATGGAAGTTATCTGATATCAGAGAGAAAATTCTGGGTAACCCTTGACCTACACACCTAAAGCCCAGAGACTAATTTTCCTGGCTACTATTTGTCTCGGCTAGGGGAGGCTTGGCATTCATTCATTCATAAACCTTTACTGCAGGATCTCCTGTGTTCCAGACATTGACCTAGACTATAGAGGATGCAAAGAGGGTGAAGACCAAATCTCTCCGCCTTGGTTCATGGTACATCGGGGTGAAGAGGCTGGAAAACAGCTGAATTATTATCCAACATGGAAAGTGCTAATATACTGATAAATCTTGAGCTTAATGGAAATGAGGATCTGCAGGAAACTGGGTCCAGAGGGTATGAGAAATTGTAAGACCTCAGAAGAGGGAGCCATAATTACAGGGCAACTCTTCTTGGGAAACTAGTCAAAACCAGCTGGAAAACAGCCTGATGACTGCTTGTGGTCTGGAGGGTCAACTGTACCCTCTGCACTCAACAATGCT